ACATCTTTATGGAAAATATTATTTACGTAGGTAAAATACCAAACATCAGTTTTTTATTGTACAAGAAATATCTTTAATATTTCATATAATTTACAAATAAAATATTAAATTAATCTGATGATTTACTATACTGTAATTATTTTATTATTTAAAATAATCTGATTTAAGAAAAATTAGAATATTCTGATTCAATAAAAATAACGTTTTTCAAAGTTAACTTTTTATTTAACTTGAGTTAATTCAATCTTAACGTAACTTTAACTGAGTTTTTGTTCAACTTTTAACTTATATATATTAATTTTGTAAGCCATTAACTTTAACTTAATTTAATAAAAAAAAAAAACATTTACTTACTCAACTCTGCATAAAATTAATTACCGATTATACGTGCGAATTTGTACCTCAATGTTCCTATAGTGCGTCTAGAGCAGCCTTATGAAAAGGACGATAAAGCTCCAATTATAGGTCCCGCGAGTTTCAAGGAGCACGGATTTCGAATGTTAATGATCTGGGCCTCCGGATTAAATCCAGACGTGCCACTGATAAAAGAGCTCTGTGAAGCTTTATCAGCGGTGGACAAGAAAGCAATTGCTGGTATATATTTATATATAAATCCGGTATACATTTTATTCCACAGTATATTTATACACACAGCATATATAAGTCTATTTTCTATTACTATTGTTAGCCAATTGTTATCTCAACAAACTTCTTACTACGCGCAGTAAAAATATCCCTTATTCGCAAGGATAACAATGGATTACAGCGCGGCTGACGTTTATAGAGATAACAATAACAATCGTAATATATATCTAAGATTGAATTTCATATAGAATAGAACTTTCTGCAACGAGATTTTATTTGCTTTCACTCATTTTGCAGATTCCATTCGTAAACAAATGGAGCAGGGAGATGATGGTAAGGTAAAATCGAAAGGGCAACGATGTCATAAATGCTCCATTGCGTGAATATCTACAAGTGCCAAGTTAACACGCAAATTCTACATATGAGAACGTAATTTGAACGAAAACTGTAATTTACGAAGTAAGACATAATAGTTGTTGTCGAAAGCTTACCTGCATTTTAATGAGAAGAGTTCAACGAACTTGGCAAATGCCATTAACGAAGGATTTACGAAAAAGATAAAAAATACAATGTTGTATAAACCTTTGTAATACAATGTTGTATATACCTTTTTATATCAACAATTCACAATGTTACGCAAATTCTTAGGACACAAATTATGAGTACAATTTACGGCGCAGGTATAGCTGTTACTATCATTTTGAAAAAACAAGAATTTCTTAATAAAATCAGGTACGTAATTCAACAGTATATATTGATATATACTAATTTTTTAGTCAAAATTTAAACCTAACTCAACGTGAATAAGACATCTTGAATAAAACTATAAAGTATATTATCGATGTTATATAAAAAATCATACGATTTGAAAATCCGAAGAAAATGAAATTCATAATAATTATTACTTCTTAATAAATTGGACCAGACGGACTGCATAATCGTATCTTATTGTATTGTAGAAAAATTGATTGAAGGTTGTAAGTACATACAGTAGCTTCACTCACTGTAGAATAAAAATTTTATGAACCCGCTATATCATCGCTGGGTTAAATAATATCATTTACCAAATTAAAGACGATAGTGTAAAGGGAATATCATTTACACAACGCGACAACAATAAAGAAGGTATTCAAATTATATACAAATAATATGTGCAAAAAACGGATACTTAAAACAGAGTATTTGAACAATTATACGTACGAAACCAAGCCGTCCTAAGCTAATCTTAATTCAAGCAGACTATCATGATTTCGTTTTGATGATTCTTTTATAGAGAAACGCCTCCGTTATTCGTAGAAACAAAAATACAGTTAGTACGCAGAAGCCATCGAAAAAGCGGTACAATTGTAAAATCAAAGTAACAATCTCGAACGTAGACTCTTCGGAATAATATTAACGCATAGATTAAGTGTGAGAGTAAATTTTGCAGGGCTTTCGATGTGATAACAGTCTATTAGATTAGATCTCGAATAAAGAATATAATATAAAATCGATAAATAGATATGCGATTATCGCACGGTTCTCGAAAGAGACAATCTACATATCTGAAACTTACAAATTTAGACTCTTAACTATGAACGATATTATATGTAACTTTATCTTGTATTACGCAAAAATTATATAAACTAAAAATTATGAAATTTTTTATTACATGAAATCAAATGCATAATAATAAATGTGTAAGCAAGAGGAAGCAAATTATCTTCTCTCCATCATATATTTAGCTTATATAATTTTATAACATTGACGACCTACGTGATTAAAAAATATCAATTATAATTAAATATGAAAATACTTTTTCTGCATTTTATCTGTCAAACTTTCAATTTTTTTTATAAAATAATTATTAACAAAGCGATAATACGAAAGATAATATAGATAAGTAAATACTTACCGCATGGATTAAAAAAATCATGGACTTCCGAAGCTGCTTTCTGAAAGTACGTTTTACAATAATGTACATATCTTATCTTGATGTAATAAATCGTTGTATTCTATATATCGTCATATATCGATATTATTGTTGCAAACATTATATAAATTATAAATATATACGATAGAAAAATGTAACTTTTATAAAATTAGAACTTGTACTAACAAATAAGTTCAATTTTTCAGGAAAAAAAACATCAGTATTTTTCGTTTCGAAATTACAAACAGAAAACCATGGAAAATAGGACGAAGTAGGATGTCGACTAATTGTAATATAATGTGACAATTCATAAATAACTGACAACTCCAAGTGTTTCTATTAAAATGTGAACGTTTATTAATTCGGAATATCAATTATTCTATACTATAAAAAAATGTCGCTAGCTTCTTAGTGTTCACAGTATATAACAAAATACTATAAACAATAATATAGTATCAGAGAGGTGAATAATAGAAATGGAGATGGTACTATCAACAGCAGTCGTATCGCGATGGATTATTCCGTAACTCTTTAATCAATATTACAGATGTAACACAACCGTAGCCTAATGCGTGTCTTCCTTCGTTGTTGCGAATCTTCGAGGTCTCTTTCGAAATTTATTTCGCAGAGGTACGTATGCCGGGACGCAGGCTCATCATAAAATATAAGTCAATACGCATCTTGTAACGCACTCGGACCTTCCTGATCTCCTATTTGACAATAGAATGTATTTTATGGTTGTACATGCGTATAAATGTATCTCCGTCTATCTAAAACACTACCCTTAGACCACTATCGCAATTTTAGTAAATACGTTTGGCTTTTTGACCTTATGCTATTTTTTGCTGCAGGACAACCCGTGCTAACTCCATTCATTATGACGACTTTGCAAAAAATCTTGAAATAACGGTGAGAGAACTATAAGACACATGCAGATCTGAACATACTTTAAAGATATTAAATTAAAATGCATAGATTAATTGTTTTTCCGAATTTTTATATTCAATAAGCTCTAATGCCTTTTGAAAACGATTAATTTCAAAGAAATAAATAATCTGGTAATATATATTACGCAAATAGATGCGTTCTCGTTAATAATGTCGCACAGACGACAGTATTAATTTCCTTATAAATACAATTTCAAACTTGACTGAGAAACGAAAAAAAAAATATCGGATGCTGAAATTTTTAAATCGAGTAAATTACACAAGAAAAAAAGGAAAAAGATATCGAGATCATGTCGAATGATCGAGTCATGTCTATGTGCTCGTGAATTAAACTTTACGCCCGTTTTTTTACTTTTCTTTTACCTCCATAACTCTTACGTTATCTAGTTAGTAAATTGAACAGGACGTCTAGTAAATAAACTTCCTGCGATAGAAATCGAAAAGAAAGTATTAAGTTCTATATTCTAACACTGTTGTCGCGCGCGCGATAATTATAAAACTGTGGAAAGAAAACATACAAAAGGGAGAAAAAGCAACAATTTGATCGTCCGCAAACGAAAATGAAAAAACTCGAAAAAAGCGGTAGGATGAACACTGTCACTGAGAATAAACCTAATAGTTGGAGCCCTCGAGTGAATTTGTCAAGTGTACAGCATGTAAATAAAAAAAGATGTCATCTTTTTGAGGTCCTTTAACACGACTTGTTATCCATCTGATTGATCATTTCCTCATTGTTTTACGACACTTTTCGACGAAGGATAAAGACGTGTTATTTTACTGTTTCTTACACTAATCGATACTTATTCGCAGTACAGTTCTAACTTAACGTGCATCTCAATCCGCGATCGTGCATCAACGTTAATATTCGCAAGCTATTTGGTCTTTTCGCCTGCATCTTGAACCAAATGACGAAGTCGCTCATGTCTGCCGTTTAATCCGAATACGTAGGACATGCAAACGTGTACGAATTTCAAAGTATTGGAAAAACAAAATACGAAGCCGCACAAGTCAATCACTGTAAGTTTTGTACGTTTAAACCTGCCAAAAATTTATTAATGACAGATCATTGATGAGTTCTCACGAGCTATTTATCAACAAATGCATCGCATATGTTTAAATTTAATGTTATTCTCTACAGGGGAAAATTGAACTTTTTGTAGAAAAGTTATCGTCAATTATCTGAATATTATATACGTATTATTATATATCATTGCATTTAATATGCAAGGTCCGCCAAAAGTCCCGGGCTGGCTGAATATTTCAGAAAATATGCATTTTTGAGAAAAATGTTTCAGACAAAAGTTGTAGGGTTTAAAAAGATCTATTCACTGATCGTGACGCCACCCAAAGTCAAGCGGATATAATCAGTGAATAGATCTTTTTAAACCCTACAACTTTTGTCTGAAACATTTTTCTCAAAAATGCATATTTTCTGAAATATTCAACCGGCCCGGGATTTTTGGCGGACCCTGTATATAATATATAATTTTTTATAGTTATCCAAGATATAAAATTAGAAACTTTTAGAAATTAATCAGTAATTATGATGTCGAAATTCAGGACGAAGTCAAGTGGTCTAAAATCGATTTCAACTTTGAATCCGAGTTTGCTGTACGTACATAAAAGTATCTCCGACGTACGACCTCGCGAGTGGCACCAATGAAGTGTATTAGATCTTAAATCTACTCGACACTCGCTTGATTCGCTGTGTAACATTCTTTTCGTCGTGGGTTCCGCAATTTTTCTCTTTCTCTGTTGTGTATATCTATAAAAGTCGAGCAAATTTGCGAGCAATATTGCTTCTTCTTCGATCATTTGCGCATTTCTTGCACATCCCACGAAGTAATCATACGCCGATCTCTTTTTCTTCACGTATTTCTCCAACGCAGATTTAAAGTAAAATAGGGCAAGTGTGTTCTCTATTACCGATATAAACTGCCTTGCAGTATAAGTATACATACGAATGTGTACATTAGAAACAAAAAAAGGGGAAGGATCTCAAACCGAAGCCGAGACCGGTTTCTGTCTTAGTCCCTTTAGCGACGGTAAGGATGATAATTGTTGCTGTTCGTCGTAGATCCTGTGTAACCCCTTTGGGGCCCACCACTGCCGTAGTTGTCAGTTCCTGGCGCAGCAGGAACGCTCGATCCATATCTGGCGCCTATATAGAATCGCACAAAAGAACATAGTACTATGTGCCAGGACGTGGCAAGAGGACGTAATCGGAGAAGGTGGTAACATAGAGCAGTGGCTCGCGTTATTCGATAACTCAAGAGACTGATCCTCGATCTGAATATGTGAAAAGCGAAAGAAGCTTAATTTTTTGCAATCCAAATCAACAGATGATCAAAAATAGATAAAATTTTGATAATGCTCTCACCATTGCGTTTAAATTGTCGGAGATATGCATTGGCCATCGATAAAAATCTGACAAAATTTAAGCATAAATAAATTATTAATAATAATTTAAATAATTTATTAATGTGCATGTATTCGGAATTTATTATAATTAATTCAAATAAATAGATGTGATATTCATGCAATAATTCCAAGTTGTTAAAAGTATCCCTTATTACGGAATATCGTAGCAACTTAGAAATACAACATTTTTAACGTGATATAGGATTGCAAAGAGTTAAGATTATTGGGACTAACTGAAAATAAAGTTAGAACTTGAAATGAAAAGGCTAAATTTTCCACAAACTCCAAATCTAATCAATAATGAATATTTTAGATTATATAATTACCAATTTAATAAAATAATAATTACAACTTAAATTTTTTATTATTTATTAATAGCATTTGCGATCATAAAGACGGCCTTGATTGAATTAATCTAAAGAATCACAATATTATACTGGAATATAAATTATTGAAAGATGAATTACTACAAATAACTATACAAGTATCTAAAAAGTATGATCCACAATAAGTGAATAAAATGAATAAAACATTTTATGAAAAAAAATTACGCTATGCAAATTCATATTTAATTATCGTACAAGTTGAGCGCTACAGATTCCCAATCACAATTTTATAATAGATTTTATTTAGAAAAAATTATATCTGTTCAAACGGAAAAAAAGAAAATATTAAGAGAAGATTACAAGTAAAAAAAATTAATTCTGCCTTCTTTTAGATCGCTTGGACTTATAAATGTTTAATTAATTCTCTTCTGCAATAATATATCAGATATATAAAGATAAAAAATAGCAACATGAAAAAATAAAATCAGAACAAAAAGAAGAGACAAAAAATATTTGGAGCAAAGCAAAAGTGAAATCTGGACGGGAAACAGTCTGAAGGTACTAACGTATAGGATCAGAGAATATATGTCTCGCTTCTGAAACGATCTGAGGCGCAGAATGGTTGGGTAAATGGATAGATAGATAGATAAATAAATGAATTGATGGATGGATGGAAGGATGGGTGAATGGATGGGTGAATGGACAAATGGAGTTTTGCGGAGGGTAATTTGAAAACTCGAGAGCAAACGGGCTGAATTAATATCACCGATATATAGATCTCGAAAGAGGTTTCACACATCCTCTTTCCGTATCCGAGAGATCCGGGCGTGCATCATAGCGGTGGCTTTTAGGACCTCCGGACGAGTTTCGGATCGCGACGAGTTCATGACTAATTTGCAAAAAGGGACGCCTGAAAAACGGGTCAACTCGTTCGCACCAAGTTTACATCTGTTCACGGCAAGGCTCAGGAATAAAACCGGAACGTCAACGCGATTTATCGATTTCTCTTTAACGCTTTCCAATTCAATTTTATCCGTATAAAAAAAATTTTCGCGTTTGGAAAAATATCTCGATCAAATATCGAGTCGAAAGACTCGCGTTCCTTCCTGAAACTAATTCAGTTATATAAATAAATAACAGCCTGTTTAATTAATAATTTATAATCATGATATTCGATCCTTTCGTCCAATTAAAAGCTAAAGAATTTAAATAATATGTAAAATACAATAAAAGTGAATTTTTTTCGAAGATTATAATAGACATCGTACTATCATTATTATTATTAGTGTTTGCAATTGAAAAGCGTTAAATACATGTTATCTTTTAATGGCTTATACTTTTAACGTTTAATTACTTAAGACAATTATAGAAACATCGTCACGATTAGATAACAAGATAACACATATATATCCATAAAAAAGCGGAACACACCTTAAGACTTACTACAAAGATACTACACTCTAAAGGTTAAGCAATAAAATTTAATGTTAGCTTAATAATGAAAATCGTACAGCTAACATATGTGACGGTGGCTTAGTTAATCTTACTGTATAAACTCGAAGCGCACTTACTTCTGACTAATTTAATTAATTAATCCTTACTCGGTAATCTTACTGCGCGCTATCTCAATTGCTGGAAATGAGCTTAAAGTCACCGCTATAAAATTAACAAATTGTAATATATAATCAAAACTATGGAGATACAACCGGCACGTATACGCGCAAAGAGAAATTCCGGAAGTTGTGCGAGTCCATTCTTGCACTCATTCTCTCGCACTCTTTCGTTTTCTGCCACTCTTTCGCATCCTTTCTTGCTCTTTCCCGTCTCGCGCACTTATGAAAACTTGTTTCTCTCTGCCGTTCGGACGATGTCAGACGGTTTTTTTAGCGCCTATAGGGATGGTAATTCGTGTGTTGGGTCAAAGAGAACCGTTGAGGACCAGGAGCTGCGTCTCCGTTGGGAATGAAGGTCGGACTTCCAGTTTCGACGGTTTTGAATTTGGGGATCGGGAGGACATCTGCGGGAAAAAAAGGTAAGGAAGATCGTTAGAGCTCGTTTCATCTCTGGAAATACACGGTTCTCCCTCGAGTGCCACTCCTTTGGAGGAAACTCTCGAGCGAGTTCGTGCAAGGGTCGGGAGTAGTACAAGATGACAGAAAAGGAATTAGAGAGGAGAGAAAGTGGTGGATAGAGGTTCACAAGCGTTTTCTCTTCGAAGATGGCCTTACTTCAAGTAGTTGAGCACGATCTCATGAAGTTCCTAATTTAACCCTTTAACCGAGTTTTTAGTTTTTGTTTTCATAATATTAATACTATAATTATGTATTCTATATTGATTGCAGCCTAATGATCTAAGTCTTATCTAAAATTATTGTTTACGTATATGATAATATGATACGAATTCAAGAGCATCGTACATTATAATACACACAAATAATTTCTATATCAAATGGCTTATAAATTAGAAATCGTATTATCTAAAAATTTGTCCTGAGTTTATTTAATTGAAAATTATATATGTACCATTTTGATAACGATGCACTTTTGGACGAACTTTTCATCTAAGTATATATATATATAATATATATATCTACATACGTGTAAGTTATATCTACATAATATATGAAACTATATTACGATATTTAACGTATAAAAATTATACGCATATTAAAATTACGGACGCCAGTAAAATATTTTAACTGCCTACCCGGTTAATGGGTTAATGGATTAAGTGTACTTAGAGATTAAGCTTCGATTTATGAACATGTCAACACTAATGATTCAAATAATGCAAATCTCTATTACGAAATCATGAAACAAAAAAAAGGACTTTAAAAACTTTTAAAATAAATCTATACTTTATTTCAATCATCTTTAAATAAATATACGAAAGTGCTGACATGTCGAATACCAGGCCAACTCGAAACTGAGACTTTTCCGTTGCAACGCAAAAGAATTCGTTATAGAAAAGCAGAAGTTATCTCCAGTGCAACAGCTCTCAATATAGTAATTATTATACAGGATAACACGCCTCAGATTCGAGAGAACATGGCGAGATATGTATGTTGGGACGCGCATAAAACACTGCACTAATTAAAAAGCTTGTCTCCACCGTTTCCGATACGTTCTGAATATATGCGGCAATGAAAATCCAAAGAATCCATTCGATCAATATTTTCTAACAGTGGACCACCTCTGTAATTCCGTTTTCTCATTAACGCCAGCAACACCGTGCATACGAAAATTATCGCGATATCGACTCAATAATTTCCGCATAAAAAGTACGCATCAATTTTTACGTCAAAAATTCTTATTCCACGTATAAAATACAAATATATCCGTGATATATTGCCTTTCCAATGAAATATTCTTCGTACGATGTTGATGTAGCTGCATTTCAATTGAGCGCATATGCTCACGTATGCACGGTGGAAATCGCAATGCGTAATTGCAAAACAGAAGCGGCAAAAAGAAAGAAGGAGTCATGTGGAACGCATGGTGTCGATGGCATTGATCTGAGGGATCGAAGGGAATCGATCGGACAGGTGCGCACCATAGCAATCATAGTTCTAAAAAAACCCATGTATATATAATCTCTCTTTTCTCGCGCACTCGCATGCTCGCTATCATTCACACCATGTACATTGTATACAAATTATATATACTAAATTATATATAATTGTTTAAAAAAATTTGTTTTTAATGATATTTGAACTAATCACTGGCACTCACATACAGTATCCCGCGATAATAGCTCTAAATATGCTAGTACGATCGTCATTAGAAATAAAAATTTATGCTGTGCAGTGTTTTAAGTCTCTCAACCACATGAAGTTAGACATATAACTACATAAGGTGCGATCTAATTAAGTGAAGGGATCGAGATTAATTTGATTGATAAGAAATTTTTTTTCATCAATATCATTTTCTATTTAATCATAATTTCTCATAATCTATACCAATGTATTTTTATGAATGATTTTCTCTATATTATATCATCATAATAATCAGCATATCAACTTATCATCATTATATTATTATATATATTGTGTTGTATATAGATTTATGTATATATAATATTATATATGTCTCATTATGAGAGATCGTTATTAATATTATTAATATATCTTAAGTATCAATTAATCAATTAATCCACTAGAAACACCGTTAAGCATATTATGTATATACTATATATATATGTGTGTGTATATGTGTGTGCGCATGTGTGTGTACGTGTGTGCGTGTGTGTGTGTTTAATGAATAATAATAATAGCAGTAAGAATAATCATAGTAATAATAATAGTATAAGTAGTAGTTGTAATAGTAATAATAATGGTAGTAGTAATAATAGTAGTAATAGTACAGTAACTATCATAATAGTACTGTTATTTTACGTGTCGTCGAGAATGGGGGG